ATGACCTTCAAATGTTTCTCAAAATACTGAATTTATCAGTCTCTATTGCTACAAAACTTAACCTTACAGCCATAGTGGTACATACATCAAATCAGCATAGTCGTAGGAAATTTTACTAAACAATTCGGATCTCAAAAGAAATTTAAATTCTTGCTATTTTTTCTTTATAAAAGAATATTCTTATTATGAATGAATAACGTACACAGCGAGGTTTCGAATACTATGTATAACGCGATAACTGAGTATGTAGCAAAAATTACATGATGGAGTAGCTATGTCAGTCAGTCAAAATTACAACATTTGAACAATGATGGTGGGATATTAAAAGTAGACAAAATAAATATGGGATACACTACATTCCGTAATTAAAATAAATATTTCTATTGAATCAATAAGAAATAAAACAATTAATTTTAAAAAAAACGAAATTAAAATTAGAGTGAGGAAGTTACTCATTCCTAACTGTCATAAACTTGTCCCTCCTTTTCTTGATGAATGGATGTTTTAGAATTCCTTTATAGTTGTACCTTTCATAATGCAATACATTGCTTACATTCCAATACATGTAATTAACAACGTTTGATTTAATATTGCACTTTAATAACCAAAATGATACATTGATATCACATTAGTGTCGAGGTTTGATATAAGTGAGCTGGGATTATTTTAAAGTAGGTGTCTATGACTTACTGACGATAAATTCGAACAATAAACGAACAGCACACAATCCACTAATATATTCAAAATAAGTCAAACATGTGTACGAGCATGTACACTATAAGATATTACAGTAGTATCTAAAACTATAAATAATTCTTGTCAAAAGACCACATAGGCTGGTTCAATTACATTATAACTCAAGTTAAAAACGAATTATTTTTCTCTACTCTCTTTCTTCCTATACAACCAGTGATAAATACACTTACTTTACCCCATGGTTTACCACAGTTGTATCCAGAACTTTAAATAATTGCCTTTTCGTCAAAGTCCATACAGGTTCAACTACTTTAGAACACTCTTTGACAAGACAGATTACTCTCCTTATCTGTTAAATTCTCACTTGACAACTACACTAAGAATCATGCAGTCAAACTTCACTTTCCTAAACTTAACTTTATAATATATGTATATTACCTAACTGAGGCCTAGAACTTGGTATAAACTAAGACTCTATGATGTAACAATACTCACTTAAGACAACGATAAAAATACAGAAAATTCCAGTAATGTGACGTCAAATTACAACAATTGAATTACACACACAACGTACGAAACTTACCGAGTTACGTAACGAAATTTGTCATCACTATTGCCTTTAAAATAAATATCTTTAACACTCTTGTTATGTAAACCTAAATGATCATTAAATCACCATAGAATGTAATAACTGTTACACTACAGTCTTGTATATCCAACAATTAGTTTGGATTTAAAATTCACTTGGAGGTTATTTATCTGTCACATATTACCAGCTTACAGAAGATGTGCTCATAATAATCATAATACTGGTTTTGGAAAAATAAATCTACTTACTACACTTTGCAAAAACTAAATTTTTGTATCAAAGAAATGAATGGTGCGCCATCTATTGACAGATAAAGAAATTCTTAAAATAATAATTTAACGAAATTTTTCTTAATGTTTTTGTAGTGCAAATATACTTCTAATGATTGAAACTAATATTTTGATTCTATTTTTTAGATTAAAGGTGAATACCAGTGAAAATGCCATGGTTCCTCCTCGATGGTACAAGTACCCTAGAGCGCTAAACTAATGTTAAGGGGACATTTTCAGAACTTATGCTTTCCATCTCCACCACGGGGTACTGTATGTGCATACAATTGATGACCACATGCCGGGGTCAGAGCAATTAATTGGGAGGACATCATACGGATCTTAGGTTTTAAAGTATGATACCACGTATACACATACAACTCTAGACTCGGCCCCACTGAAGATTTGAAGACCACCATATAATGTATTGTTTTGATAATTAAGAAACTGTTGTTATTAAACTCGGACATCAATAGCATGTACACAGATCTATCAGTTGTGTAAAGACTTCAGCTGCTTCATATCTTTAATATTTATGTAAAATTATCTTTTTTCTTTATTTTTAGCGAAATTGACTTCTAAGATGTCATGTTTGTGCAATGAAATGTCTCAAAATGTCATTATATAAAAATATTTTGTCCTTCTATCTAGCAACCTAAAATTAAGCTATTATTAAATATGGAGATAACATATGTTCAAACTGAACTCACTGTTAAGTAGTGGTTTTTATTTTTATTTTTTTCCACTAAAATTATTCTAGTAGAAAACAGAATAATATTACTGTTATATATTAATTAAGCTGGTATACCCTGTTTGAGAAAAATATTTTTAATCAATACTTTCAAAAGATATAGTACAGAAAACTTAATTATATGCAATTATCATACTAGGGAAACAAAATTTGAGAGATTGTGAATACCAATATTTCTTTTAAAGAATATAACAAATAATGACTTTTTTAAGTAAGCTTAATTTTTCATAAGTACCTATTTGTCTTGAAAATACGAAGATAATAACATATAAATTGACATAATTTATAGGAAGAGATATATGTGTCTGACATTAATGACTGTCAACAACCTCGAAGAGTGTGCTAAACAAAAATATAATATTAATACTTCAAATGGAAAGGTGAGTGAGAAAACTAGAGCATTAACCCTGTCATGTCAAGTTTACTAGGTGAAACTCACAAGCTTCATAATCTAAATAATTAAATAATTTGGTCTCCTTTGCTTTGAAACTTTCTAACTATTTTATTGTAACTATTAATGTAAGAAAAATTTGTTACACATATCATGGTACATCTTAATTACAATTTTTGTCAAAGAAAACTGTAGCTACTCACTTTGAATACCATGTTTGTTTGTAATTAAACACAAAGCTACACAATGGGCTACATGTGCTCTGCCCAACACGGGTATCGAAACCTGGTTTCTAGCATTGTAAGCCTGCAGACATACCTCTGCGCCACCTGGGGGGGGGGCTTTGCATATCTAAAGTATTTATTGAGACAACCATGTGATACAGGATATGTTTGTTAAAATTTTCACATGTGTAAATAAATATATAAATTTGACCTTTTTTCCAATTTTTTTTTTTCATGGACGATGTCAGAAATGTTGAAAGAGCTTCATGATAATCCAACTCGATCAAAAGGAGGTGTATACCATTTTGGCAATATATTCAACACTAAATTCTTATGATTCAGGGACTGTTGTTGTTTAATCCAAAACGGTATTATATTTAAAGTAGAAATGAATAAATTGTATTTTAGCCTCCAGTGCTTGGCTCTGTTATTGGAATCTTCCTTTTAAACTTTTAGATTCTGCATTGGAACAG